TTTTTTTTATTTATTGTAGAAATGAGGTCTCACCAAGTTGCCCAGGTTGGTCTTGAACCCATGGGCCCAGGCAGTCCTCTCACCTCAGCCTCCCAAAGTGCTGGGATTATAGGTGTGAGCCACTGTACCTGGCCATGTACTAGATTTTTCAAAAATTAAGCAGCACTAAAGAGTATACAGGAAAAAAGTAAATCTTTCCCATACATTTTCCATTGTTCCTCCCCAAAGGCAGTCACTCTGTTTTCTCATGTGTCCTTAAGGTAGTCTATACATATCTCTCTCTCTCTCTCACACACACACACACACACACACACACACACACACACACACACGTTAAACCCACTAAAACTAAATTGAAAATAATTACATTTACCACAAATATGAAAACAAGTTAATAACATCAGCACAAACTGTTTATATGCTTATTGAAACAAAAAATATATAAATATATGATCATCCTCAATAGTTATTATATAAAACTGAGACATGTTTTCAGTGCAACAGAATAGCAGAGGAAGAAATTAACATGATCAAAATGTTGGTAAGTATGAAACATAAACAGAATCTGGGTAGAAGTATATACTGGTACAATTTATTATAAAACTAATGTGATAAAATGTGTCACATTTTAAAGCTTTAAAAACATACAAATCCTTTTACTCTCTAATTTCTTTTCTTGAAATGTAAAGTTTAAAAAATAATTAAGAGATTATTACATATGGCTTGCTTATTTTAAATTATTTATAATAAGAAATTAAAAGAATAACTATAATGGAAACTAGCTCATTAAATTATGGCGTATCAGTACAACAAAAAATTACAAAGCCACTGAAGACTAGTATTTGAAGAATATTTAATATCACTGGAAAATGTTTATTACCTAATATATTCATCAGAATGAAAAAAAAAAGCCAGGTGTGGAGGCTCATGACTCTAATCCCAACACTTTGGGAGGCCAAGGAGAGAGGATACTTGAGCCCAGGAGTTTGAGACCAGCCTAGGCAACATAGTGAGACTACATCTCTACAAAAAATAAAAAAAGAAAG